TGGAGTCTGGGACTCCCAACTTGATTCTGATCGAGGGCTGTGTGCGTAGTGGTGGTTTCTCCTGGGGATGTTAGAGACGTCATCATTGTGACGGGTTTTCCTAACCCGAGAGTGCGAAGGTTGGTGCGGCATGGGTGTGTGATTGCAAGAAGAGGACTCATGGGAGTTGCTCTGGGATTTAAGAGTGGGTCTTTCCGTCGTCACGGATTGGATAGAGAGGGATTCGAATCGGGGATCCGATGGTTCATGTCTTCTAACCCTTATGGGTCGAGTGATTGTTGAGATTTGGGGCAGTGATACTTCATGGGTAATTCTCGGATCGATGTGTGTGGTCATCAGAGGGTGCATCCGGTGCCCGGTTCGAGACAATGGTCAGGACACCGTAAGGAAAGGGAAAGTGTGTTCGAGTTTCGATGGGTATGCCTTGTGAGATCTGGTCCGATTAAGGCCAGGTGGCACGTTGTGGGAGTAATTCTGGAGTTGAGTTACTGTAGGCTTCGAGGGCGAAGCCTAATTTAAGTGGGGGAGAATTGTAACATCCCGAAATATCAAGAGTAGAGTTGAAGGGCTAAAAGAGTAAATTGGGAAAGAGCGACTCGGCGAGTCCATGTGTGGACTCGGCGAGTAGAGTCGCGACTTGGTCGCGTGTTAAGTGGCCGACTCGGCGAGTCAGTGTATTGGACTCGGCGAGTAGGCGCTGAGTGGAGAAAACCCTAATTCTCGGGGTTGAGCCTTATATAATGATCATTATGTCTTCCTCCCAGCCTCTTTATCACCCCTTGAGCCCCAGAAAACCCTAAATCGCGGAGAAGCACCATTTTTGAGTGGATTGGAGCTTGGAGAAGTAATGGTTGAAGGAATTTTGGGAAGATTGAAGGCTTGGAGCAAGGGGCTTTGCTTGGATTCGAATTGCATTGCAGTTGGGGCATCACTTAGAGGTAGTATCTCGTTTTTGACCTGTTGATTATGTTGTTTCTTCATTTTGGGGTTTGTGAGAAATTGTCTATGGATGAAATGGGAAGTCTAGAGGTTAGATCTGAGGTTGCTACCTCAGATCTGGAAGGGAGAAGAATCAGAGAGCATGAAAGTCCCTGTGTTGGAGTGTTTAGTGAAGCTTGCATGTCCCAAACCCTAGCCCCAATGTGCAAACGGCTTAGATCTCTTTGGATTCACGTAAAGTTTGCCACTTTACGTGATGGATGAGTGGTAGGAGGCTAGATCTATGTCTTGGAGCAGTTGCATGGCCTGGAATGCTTCGGAATGTATTCAGACCGGCGGTACTCGGCGAGTCACATGGGTGGACTCGACGAGTTGGATGAAGATGGCCTGGAACTCGGCGAGTTGTATGAACAACTCGGCGAGTAGGTTGAAGATAGCCGTAGACTCGGCGAGTCTGTTCTTGGACTCGACGAGTCTTGACGAAGAGTCCCAAATATTTCCTGGTTGAGTCGAGAATCGGTGAGTCAAGGGATGACTCGGTGAGTTGGGTGTGAGTGGACTCAGAGTTGTGGGACTCGGCGAGTCTCGTGGTGACTCGACGAGTTGAGTCGCGATATGGGGAAGTTCTGATTATGGGAACTCGACGAGTCACAGGGTTGACTCGGCGAGTAGAGTCAGTCAAGGGTTGACCTAGACTGAGGACTTTGATTTCGACCAAGGGTTGGCCGTTGAGTTTTAGGGTTTGGACAGCGATGTGGCCTTTGGGCCAAGAGAGAGGTAAAATAGTCTTTTACCCATAAGAGGGTGTTATGAGAGGATTTATTCTAGCCTCGAGAGTTATATTCATGAGAGTATTTGCCTTACGTGTTAGGCGGTGGCGAGTTCGAGATTCAAGTGTGGGGATATCTGCTTTCTGCTTGCCAGGTGAGTCTTCTCACTATACTTTACCTTGAGTAGGTAACCAGAGTTATGTGATTAGAGTATTTGTATGCTATATGTACGTGATGTGTTGTACTGCATTATTTCTATGTGATTTATGTTGTGCATGTTTATAGAGTTGGAACCGGAAGGTTCCCAGAGTTAGAACCTGAGGGTTCACAGAGTTTGGGTGCACGGACCCACAGAGTTATAGCCTCGAGTGGCTAATATGTGTTATGTGTGGTATTTTGGGGAACTCACTAAGCTTCGTGCTTACAGTGTTTTGTTTGATGTTTTACAGGTTTCTTTCAGTATCACGGGACGGCACCGGCTTGATTGTACACACCAAAGAAAGAGTCATATTTTGGAGGATCTTGGTTTTCTATGCAAGTGAAAACGGAGTTATGTTTTGTAAATCGACTATGAATAAGATTTTAAACAAGTGTTTCTAAGAGTAAAGTGATTGTTTTAAATGAAAAATTTGTCTTGAAATTTACGGTGTTACAAAAGAAAGCAAAAATCGATTTTTTTTAAGTTACAAACATTACTGACTAAAAGAATACAATATTTTTTGAGTCTACACGTTAAGGAGGTTTACTTCTTGAGTCTATAAGAGGCGGTTGGAAGGTGATTTATTCATTTGTGCATATTTGTTTTTTTGTTTGTTTTTTTAATATAGATTTATTTCTTGTCGATGATTATATTCGTTTTTTTATTATTTTTTGATTAAAAGTGTACTTGGTTAATGAGTTAAGCACTTTGTTGACAACAATACAAAAAATTTCTTTGATTTCTTGTAGATGGGCCGATTTAATACGGATGACCTAAATGATTGCAATGATGAAGGATGAATGAACATCTTCAACAACTTGGAAGGAGTAGAAACGTATTCTATGATCAAAATACATTAAGACCTTGTGATTTTCATTTGTGATTATAATCATATTCATATATGATTGTAATTGTGCTTTGTTTATTTATTATTACAACTTTAATTGATGTTTTATTTGTAACTTGTGTTTTGTTCATTTAAGATTACAAATTTACAACTATGTTTCGATACACAACTTATTTATTTATTTACGATTATAACTACAATAATTTATGAAGGATAAATGCGAATCTTTTAGATATAATTTATCTATTATTTTGTTATATTCATTTGTGATTAAAACAATATCTACTTGTGATATTTGTGAATAATAATGTATATTCATTTGTGATTGTGAATAGTATTAAAATGGGACCGTATATAAAAATGGTTTCATTTGTGATTTGAGTAATACTGGTTTCCTTTTAAAGAAAAAGAAACGCTCATAATATATTTTTAGAAAAAACCATAAAAAAATTATATATATATATATATATATATTATATATATATATATATATATATATATATATATATATATATATAATAAATGAAGGTTTTTTGCCACATGTCCTCTTCTTCATTTAGACACTTTTAGACACTTGGTATTTTCTAAAATTTTTAAATTTTTTATTTTCCACTTGTCATTTTATTGTAATTTTTAATTTTATTAAATTAAAATTCCACATTTAATATATAAAGTAATATATATGTAAAGTATTTATTAGAAATGGTTTATATATGAAATGTATCCAATACATTAAAGTTTATTAATTTTAATAATTCAAAATTTTTCTCATTTTTCTTATAAATTCAAAAATTTTAAATTGTTAAATTTCATATATTTTTTTTTAATTAAACTCATGTAATACATGGGTCTCACACCTAGTGTGTGTGTGTGTGTGTATATATATATATATATATATATATATATATATATATATATATATATATATATATATATTCCACTAACTAAAAAGAACTATTAATTTTTTTAGGTAATTAAAATCATTTTCCCTAGATTTTAGGAAATCATTAATTAATATTTATATAAAGTTACTAATATACTCTTATAAAATGATTGGTTTCAGAACTGTTCTCACGTTCTTAACATTTTAAGTGTTTTCATTTGATCATCTCCATATATATATATATATATATATATATATATATATATATATATATATATATATATATATATATATATATATATATATATATGATAATAAACATGTGTTACATCACTCTTCTAATAGAGATGCAAAGATCATAACCCTAAGCCTAACATCTGCTTAATGGGCTAGGACATGGTTATACGACACTACTAGTTAAAAGAAGGAAGAATTTCGTATATGACCTTCCTAAACAACTAAATATCGTATTTGTCCAGCTTAAATTCCAAATATCGTATTTGCCCTTTCTGATATTTTTTAATATCATATATACCCAAATCTATTTTTCTAATAAATTTTATTCATTTATAAATCTATTTAATTATCTTAATTCATTAAGATTGAAATTAGAAATGTAATGGACAATAATGCCCTTACTTGTAAACTCCTATACTAAATACGATCGCAACCTACTTGTTACCGACCATCACGTTCGCTGCTACCTGTTAGTCATCACGTTCGCTGCTGCCTGTTAGTACTTCCGATCGATTGTTGCTTCCCTATTATCTCATCACGCTCACGTATGAGGTAAACAATAAAGGATGTTATTCCTATTTTGAATTTATTTAATTTTGTTATTGATGTATGATTTGTTTCTAATCGATTGCTGCATCCTTATTATCTCATCGCGTTCACGCATCAGGTAAACAATAAGTCATCGTATTCCTATTTTGCATTTCTTTAATTTTTTTTATTGATGTATGATTTGTTCACTCGAATGTGTTGAACGCATCAGGTTAACAATAAGCAATCCTATTCTTATTTTTCCATTCTTTAATTTTCTTATTGATGTTGTTTGATTTGTTCACCTCAATGTGTTGAATCGCAGCTATCTTGATGTTTCAAACTGTGAATTAATTAACATGATAGCATTGTATAAAGACTTAGAAATCTGGATAATACAAACTGTTTGTGTATGATTCAGTGCCTTTTGTATCAAATTATACACTTTTACTGTTTTCCACACATAAATCTTTAATTAATTCACGATTTAAAAAATGGTAATTAATGTCATTGATGTGTTGAAACTTATACTTGACCACAATCTTGCATTCTTTCCACTCTATCAATTATGTGTGATCTTGATGTTTGAAGCTACCAATGTCGGAAAATTATTCTCAAACAGAAGATATTACACTTCATGACACATCAAAACCAATATGGGAGAGCAGGGCTACGTCTCCAATAATCGAGTATGTTTATGTAAATATCTTAATTTTAATTTATTAAACAATTAAACTTTTACTAAATTGTATGATTGTTTCTCTAATTAATTTTCAATTTCAGGCGTATACCAACATCCAAGTTCAAGTTAAAATTGAAATATGGGGGTTATTTCCGTCTAACAAAGAACGGTTGTAGGCAAATATATTGTTTTGGCTCTCAAAAGTGTATCTACATAGACACATTTTTATACAAGTTAACTCAACTACATGAAGAAGTGATAAAGCGTTATGCATCAAAGAACAACCCAGAATTTTCTATTCTTTATGTTGACAAGTATGCACCAGACAAAAGCTTTATTGAGCTTGATTCTGATGAAAAGTTCATGGATATGCTTAGCATGTATGGAAACGAGAAACAAGTAACAATTTATGTGACAACAAAGAATAACCTCGGCTCCAATAACCATACTAACCATTTGTGTGCCAATAGAGATGAACCACACGATGAGTATGAGGCAGACCTTTGTCCTAGTGAAGAAAGCTATCATAGTCATCTCAGCTCTGATAATGAAGACAATCTGATGATTTGATGATGATGAAGTTTACTCAGTTAGTAAGAATAGTATACGCATGGAAGTCGGCTCAAAATTTGAAAACGTGGTTGATTTTAGAAGATCTTTGAACCACTTTGCAGTCATAAATGAGTTTAACTACTACATTCAGAAAAGTGGCCCGACACGATTCACAGCAAGGTGTGAAAACCTAGAGTGTGAGTGGAGAATTCATGCTTCTATTACACAAGATGAAGTTACCTTTGAAGTAAGTGTATACCTTAAGTTATACCTAGCACCCTTTATATTAAAAATATATTTATGTTTATTTAATTCTTTTTTTTAGGTTAAGAAAATGGTAGCAGTACATACTTGCACTCGAAGCAACAAGGGTGGCAATAAGCGTGCCACTCAAGGATGGATCGCTAATGTAGTTACTGACAAGTTGAAGTCTGATGGGGATGTTTCTCCATATGAGCTTAGAAATTGGAGTATGAAAACTTACAATGTTGACGTGCCATACCTAAAAGTTTTTAGAGGGAAAAAGCAGGCTTATACCGACATGTATGGTAAGTGGGAAGACTCTTTCTTGAAGATGGATGAATTTAGAGAAGAACTATTACAAAGGAACGAAGGAAGCATTGTTGAAATTGACTTTGACATAGTTGGTGGAAAGAAACTTTTCAAAAGGTTTTTTATTTTTTTAGTAGCTTGTTCTAGAGGGTTTGTTATTGGTTGTCGTTCGTATATTGGTCTTGATGCCTGTCATTTAAAAGGAAAGTTCAATGGTGTACTAGCTGCTACAACTGGTATTGATGGCAACAATTCTATCTTTCCAATAGCATACTGTGTGCTTGAATCAGAAAACACACAATCATGGACATGGTTTCTTGACTCACTCAAAAAAGCAATTGGAACCCCAAATGGCTTGGTTGTCTCATCAGACATGCAAAAAGGGTTAGAAGTACCCATGATGAATGTTTACCCTAATGTTGAGCATAGAGAATGTATAAGGCACTTATATAGCAACTTCAAGAAAAACTTCCGTGGTGACTTCTTTAACACCAAACTATGGGCTGTTGCAAAACCATATCGTCCTACCAAGCATGACAGATTATTGAAGGAAATTAGTGATAAAAATGAAGATGCCATTGCATATCTAAATACCAACCACAAAAAAATATGGAGTAGAAGCAAGTTTGGTACTACTTCCAAGTGTGATTACATCACTAATAATATTTCAGAAACATTTAATTCTTGGATTGGTAAATTGCACTATAAACCTGTGCTTGATCTCCTTGACGCAATTAGGGAAATGATTATGAAACAGTTTGATAAGAAAAGGAATTTGGTAAATACATGGAATGACGCATTGGTTCCTATTGCTAAAAACCATCTCAATGACATCGCTAAGGTAAGCATGTTAACTAATTCAGTTGAATGATTATATGTGTTATACTTTTTACTTCAATAATACATATTTATCTAAAATATATCTATTTTTGATTTTTCATGTAGAACTTGGGTGAATATGAAGTTACTAGAAGTTGTGACAATCAAGCTGAAGTGAAGTATAAGGGAACACGTTGGGAGGTCAACCTAGATGAAAGAAAATGTAGTTGTCGAGTGTGGCAAGTTCGGGGCCGACCATGTGTACATGCAGCGGCTTTTATTGGTTTTATTAGGGATGCTAATTGGGACAAATATGTTGATCCCTATTTCACTATAGAGAAGTTTAAAGCTGCATATGATTTTCAAATTGCTCCGATGCCAGGACAGGATCAATGGGCACAAAAAAAATGGGGAGAAAATATATCCACCTATTATCAAACGCCCACCTGGACGAACAAGAAAAAACAGAATTAAATCATCAGATGAGTCTAAAAGAAGACACAAATGTCCGCGATGTGGAGAGTATGGACACCGTGAAAAGACATGTAAAAATCCAGCATCTCAAAATTTGGATCAAAGTGAAACATCCACATCTAAAAGGTTACTCAAATTTCTATTTTTTTTTTCATTGAACAAGAACAATACTAACAATGAAGATAATTTTTTTTATTCATTGTAGGAAACGTGGAACGAATACAAAATCGCAGGATGGTTTGGGAGATTCGGGGTCTATAAAAAAAAACTAGTGAATTGGTCGGTCCTTTTAACAATTTTGTTAGCTTTAGTTGCAAATGTTCTTAATTAGGGATCAATTGATGGATTCTTTTGTTAGTATGTGACATAAATAAATATGTTAATATAGTTTTCCTTTCATGGATTTGCATTTATTGTCAAATTGGTATATATTATGACTTACATGAACCATTTATTTTCTACAATAACATATTATGAGCAGGGACTATAACTATACTTTAGGTACGGGACCAAATTGTAGTAATTGCAAATTTAAAATAAAAGGACCAAACTATAGTAATTGCAAATTTAAAGTCAAAGGACCAAATTATAGTAATTGAAAATTTAAAGTCAAAGGACCAAACTATAGTAATTGGAAGTTTAAAGTTAAAGGACCAAACTATAGTAATTGCAAACTTAAAGTTAAAGGACCAAACTGTAATATGTGTAAATTTAATGTTCAGGGACCAAACTGTAATAATTGCAAAACTAAAGTCCAGGGACCAAACGGTAGTAATTTCAAAATTAAAGTTGAAGGACCAAACCATAATATGTGTAAATTTAAAGTTCAAAGACCAAACTGTAATAATTGCAAAACTAAAGTCCAAGGACGAAATTGTGGTAATTGCAAATTTAAAGTCAAAGGAACAAAGTGTAATACGTGTAAATCTAAAGTTCAAGAACCAAACTGAAATAATTACAAAACTGAAGTCCAGGGACCAAACTGTAGTAATTGCAAATTTAAAGTCAAAGGACCAAACTGTAATATATGCAAAATTTAAAAGTATAGGCACCGAAATATAGTATGTGCAAATTTTACAACAACAGGGATCAAACTATAACTAATGCCAAATACATACATGAAGGACCAAAATTGTAAATATTAAAGTATAGAGATCGCAAATATAGATGTTGTAGTCAAGTATTACAAATTTTTAGACGTTCAAAATATAGCTCATGAATTTCTTAAAGTACAATGCTATTTCTTGAATTTAGCCCTTCTTTTTCTATCTCTTCATTTGATGAGTAATGGAACAAATGAAACCACGACTTGTGAAGCATCAGAAGCTCCAGCAGCAGAAAAGACTGTTGACCCTGTAGTAAACTAATGGAGTTCATGACAATGTAGTAATGGAAACCGATAATGCACCTTTTGGTGATAAACTTATGTCTCCTTCTCCTCAAAGTGATCATGAGATAAGTTCTGCAACAAAATCATAAGTCAATGAACATGTTGATGACATTAACATTCTGGATAATAATAATTAGGGTGAACATGTTAACATGAATGAAGGGAGCATAAACATTCTTTTTTGGAACTTTACCCACTCAGAAATTTCAATCGTAAAAAGAAACATTTCTATTATCAGCAAGAAAAAGAAGAAACATTTTGTTTAAACTGAAGTCATTCTTGAAACATATAGCTTTTTTTTTTTACAATGGTTTGTTTGAAACAAGAAACTTGTTAAAGATTTTACGAAAATGAAAGATTACATACCCTAATTTTGAATAGCCTTCTCAACAGTGGATATGAATATGGTAATGGAACTTCTAGCTTTATTTTCTCCTGAATTCCCTTTTGTTGCCATGATGCAGCCTGAAATTTGTTTCTAAATCACTCATTTGGTATAAAGGAAGAATGAAACAATAGTTAAATGAATGTCAACAACAAGTAAAATCCTATGTTTGATTTACTGCTTCTTGAGATTTGATGTTGTTTGAAGGAGATTATTGATCCTCTGATGAAACTATGGAAAGATAACAAGCCCACATAGAAAAAACTTCACTTCTAAAAACCCAAATAAGGGATTTTCATGGATCCAATAATGTCTATCACTATGTTCTTGGTATATCAATATATAATATGGCTCGAATACTCAAAGCTTTCACAGACTTCTTTCCATCAATATATGTTAGTTACTATTACACTATATCATGAACTTCAACTTAGAACAGGAGCTAAATCTAACAATTAAACAAGATTAGAAGACCTCTAAATTCACCATTGCTCCTGACATTGTATTCCACAGATTATGCAAGACAAAAAGTTTAAAATCAAAAAATAATAATAATATATTTGTTCGAGAGTGTAAAGCTACATTAGAAATATGTACCTGAATCAGAGTACGAGAATTCACTTATAACCTAAAAACAAACGATGAGAACAAAGCTATCAGGGAGCAGTAGGCTCGATCGAGTCTCAAAATTTCGATCGCTACTTCCCCAGTGCCACACACACACACACACACACAAAATCTCGATCGAAATAAAAAAAAAAGTGGCCAAAAGAGATGCTCCGGGGACTGACATCGATGAAGAAGAAGAGGGTTGTTGGATTTTCCGACGGCCCTTCTCTAGTCGGTTCGTTTCCGGCTGATCACGAAAGGGAAGGGAGGATTTCGGCCCTTATCAGTTTGAGAAAGAGCTGAACATAATCAGGAGTCGAGTGGGGGCATGGGACCTCGTCTTCATCATATTGAAGGAGAAGAAGACGAGAGCAGCGTGATGCGATAACAGGAAAGGTTGTGATCGTATTTAGTATAGGAGTTTACAAGTAAGGGCATTATTGTCCATTACATGTCTAATTTCAATTTTAATGAATTAAGATAATTAAAGAGATTTATAAATGAATAAAATTTATTAGAAAAATAGATTTGAGTATATATGATATTAAAAAATATTAGAAAGGGCAAATACGATATTTGAAATTTAGGTTGGACAAATACGATATTTAGTTGTTTAGGAAGGGTATATACGAAATTCTCCCTAAACAAAACTACACAAAAAGTAAACATTCATTTCCTTCCTCAAATAAAGCTGTCAAGGAAACACCAGAAAACAAAATCCAGCCTTCTTTCTTCTTCTCCTTCGTTCCAATCAAGAACACCTCTATTGGAGGTGTTGTTCTTGTGAAATCAGTCTATCAAAGGGACAACAACCACTCCCGATTTCCTTCTTCTTCCTATTGAATGAAACAACAAAACACCTACTAATTTTCCCTGTCAAACATCAAACCCAAACATCTATTTTCCTCCACTGATTTCAGTCAAAATAAAATAAAAATTAAAAAAATAAAAATAAAAAAACAGGGAAACTGCCGAATGTAGCCCCATTCACTCACCTGTTACCATCCATGACTACGCAGGCTCTCGCACTTCTCTTCTTCTTTCGTCGAGCAAACACCACCGAACCACCCACCTGATTGTCTTGTTCCACCGAGCCCCTTTTCTAGCCTCACCTCGTGTTCGTCGCTACTGCTGCTCGCGACGCCTCACTGGATTCCTATAGGACCCTTCCTTCCTTCGCAACCTCTTAGACACACCAAACCCTCGATCCAAACCCACTGAATCGCTTTCCCTTTCGCCCCTCGCTATCAGATAGAAAGAGCGCAGCCTCGCTACGTCTCTTCGGCCCCGTCGACCCCCGGAGACGCTCCCTTCGCGATCAATCGACCAAAATATCCGGATTAGCCGCCTGCGAGCTTCTTCTTCCTTCGGTATTCTTCGTGACTTGCGACGAGCAAGGACCTGGATGCAGAGCTGTTGCCTTCGTGTTTCCTTCTTCTGATTCCGTTTCCGTAATTCTTCTTCTTTTCTCGGCAAATGGACCACCGGAGGCGTTCGGTTTTTCGTGCCTTCGATCCATTCTTTTCCTTTGCCCGATCAACAAAGGTCAACGGGCACAAAATCCCTAAAACCATTTTATATTTGTAAAATGGACCAAATTTAACCTCACTTGACAAAACTTTATGAAATCAGTCCCAACCGCCAAACATTGAACCCATTTATTCAAAATAGCCCATCACTTGGTTATTTTTAGCAAAACAAATCCCAATATTCAAACATAGGTTTATTTAAAACAAAATAACCCTTCCATGGAGATTTCTTAACAAAATCAGTCCAATCCCCAAACATTAATTTAATTTAAACCATTTCACTTCCTCCATTTATTTATTTTAACCAGAGCAATCCTATTTTGGTTAATTAAATTACCAAACAACCCCCAGTAGTTTAAATTCGTTACAAAATGGTCCCAAAAGTATTTCAAAGTTCAAGAATCGTGGCTTTACGGTTTCTCACGTCAATCTTCTCAAAATAAACCGATTTTGTATAAATCGAACTCACGCTTCAAGGGTGAGTGCTTATGGACCTTTTTTAATAATTTTAATTATTCCGGAAGGGAAGGGGGGGGGGGGATACATGTTCCTATATACTTTGTTTATACAAATATATTATCATTTATGCAAAAATAAAATAAATCTAGTTATAAAAATGTTATTTAACAATTTAACATAATGTTACAAATTAACTAGTATAAGTGTTTTATATACTTAATATGGTTATTTTATCGTGAAATAACTTGTCCACACAATAAATGCTACATGACACAAAAATATATGATTTTTAAGTAACATTGTATATCATGAAAAGCATGTCATAAAACTTTGTAGTATTTCAAGGATTCAAGCTACTACTAGATATGTATATTTATATGTTTAAATATATAACGTTATACGTGTACATATGTTCATTACTTAGAAACATACATATTTATAAAAGCGAGTAGATTACATTTTTACATACATACCAAGCATACTCGGCTTTTATAAACGTTATAAAATGAAATTCATTATACTAGGTGACTTAAGCACAGTTAAGTTAGGGCTGAGTGCTATTCACATACTTTGGTTAAGGACTTTTTAGTGAGACTATATTCATTACCTAAGTCTAGAAACTTAGCATACCCACACTACTATAACCGTAAATATTCAGAGTGAGATACGTATATATAGATCTATATGGGGTTGACATCCCCACCTGTGGTTGCTAGCTACAACCTCAATCGATCGATCGAAGCAGGTGATAAGTGTCTACAATTGTTACTACAACGTCCAATGAAGTGTTGTAGGGGGTATATTTTGTCACATAGCTCGGTTATACGACTCACTATAAACATTAACTGATATATATATATATATATATATATATATATTATATATATATATATATATATATATATATATATATATATATATATATATATATCACTACAAACCATGGATTTGGTTGCTTTCAAAACTATTTTAAGTTTGGAATTACTTATGTAATAATATAGTTTTCTTTTCAAGTATATTCAAGGATTCTTACAAACACAATTTTAAGTATGGATTTACTTATACAAAGATGCATTTTGGCTTTCAAAGATTCTCTACAATCATGGTTTTAAGTATGGATTTACTTATATAAAGATACATTTTAGATTTCAAGGACTCTTTGCAAACACATTTTTAACTATTGTTATACATACAAAGATAATGCTTTTTAGACTTTTTAAAAGTATTACTATTGTTAGCAGAAAACCTGTAACTTTCACCAACCTTGTGTTGACCCTCAAAATTATATGTATTCTAAGGAAATCATTAAACATACATTTAAGATTGATTGGATTACAGGTGACCTGGTTTATTTGTTGTTGTATTATATGCCTATGTGTTAAGGCATTTTATGTACTATTATTATAAAAACCTCGTATTCAAATATCAAGATGTAACCCGAATGTTATTTTGTTTATTGTTGTAATTGTGTTATATATTCAGTTTACCTATGATCCATGAACATAGTCGCACAATCTGGGGGTGTGATAAGATCTAAGCATGGCTTCCTTACTTATCCATGTGTGTATTTCTCTCTGTACACAAATCATATCATCATGTAAGCTGCTCTTTCCAAACACACAAATTCATACAGAGTAATGTAAGAATCATACTATACTTCCTTGGTTTGATTTACTTTATCTTCCATATGACCATTCATCATGTTTTTTTTTTTCAAAAAACAAAAACAATGTTTACACTTCACCGTATATTTGATTACCCTGTCTTAGTGTTTAGTAAAATTAATTTCAATTATATGGGATAAGAACTACTGGAACGAGTCTTAAAAAAAAGGTTGGGAAAATTGGTATGTTAAATAATTATATCTCCATTATATATTTTTAATGTATTTTAATATAAAAGTAAAACAAGATATTAATGCATTTGTTGTTGTTGCCTTTGTCAATGGTGGTTGATTTGATGGAATGCTAATTTAATTCAATCTAGTTTATATTGGTAAGTTCATATATGTTTCATATATACTTGTATCAAATTAATAAAACTTTATAATAGTGGTTTGTATAACATTTATTTGCAAAAAAATTTAGGTACTTATGATGATGAAGATGTAGTTGCTCATGCTTATGACTTGGCTATGCTTAGGTATTGGGGTCTGGACACTATCTTAAACTTTATGAATTGTTTATGCGTAAATAAATTATTTTTTATTATCATATCATTAAATCTCTACAAGTACACAATGTTATTTGTTATATTTTTTCATATTTAGGTGGTATATGTAATAAATAGTAATGTAATTTGACCTTATATTTGTTTGTTTCTATTTTTTTTCTCCTTATTTGATGCTGAATGTGATGAAATGATGTCAAATATGATGTGTATCTCATCTCCTTATTTCACAGTTTCAAGTTTTAGGGTTCACTTATAGATTGAAACATGTGAAAGTGTATTTCTAATTTACTATGGATCCCAAATTGATTAAAAAGAAAAAACCTTTTTTCCTTCTAAATTATTTCATATTTACTATTTTTCTTTATTATAGTTTTGTGTTCCTGGTCTTGAAGGGGCTCCAGAAGGTAAGATGAGTAGCCGAACAACAACAACACAAGAATCATCTCCACTGGTATGTGTGTTACTTACTGTGTATAAGTTTGTATTTTTAGAATAATAAAATTTTATGAAACCTTAATCTGTGTGACATCCCCAAAATCTCGGCCAGAAAAGACCGGTTTCATTTATGCTTTTTAGACATTTTCAGAGTAAACCCTTTTACTTTTAAAAGAGATGCGGAATTTGTTCCCAAAAACAAAACATGATAAAATAGATATTTATCAAAACATTTCGTAAAGAAATATGATTTCATTTCATAATCAAAAGTCGGGATGTCATGTTCCGATACAAATCATAAAGCATAAACGATAGCATTACAAGTCATTCAACAAATATATACATATACAGACTTGTAAACAAAACAACTTGATGATTCGTCCATCTTAGGCTCTTGCGCCACTTCCTGTAATACAAATAAACTGAGTGGGTCAGGCTTGGGAGCCTGGTGAGCCTGTAGGGTTTTCAACCCACAATAAATAATTATATTTAGTTCAACAATCATCAATGAAACCGATTACCCATTCCCGTTATCCTCACTTTACGTCCCTAAAAATAACATCTATTATAAGGAACCTAATTCAGGATTTTCATCAGGACAAACATTACTGCAGAGGGGCTTCCTCAACAATAAGTGTCCTAAAGGCAACCATGTGGGGGATAGAGTACACTGGTGAACACGTCGTTCACAACATCTACAGGTAATGACCCTGTGAGTGTTCCACATGACAGTCTAGAAAAGTCTGTGGTCGTCATCCATACTCTACTGAATGACTAGAATAACACCAATAACACCGAGGCCTCTCATCTGTTTATTACACACCAATTATCTACCCATGTTCTATCCAACATATTAGTAGATAAAAATATACATTTTTATACATTGTTTAAAAACCTGTATAACATGCTTTAATCAATACATATTCCACATAACAGATGAGGCATACACACATAACACGTATTTCATAGAGAATAAATCAGATTTATAAGATAAAAGAGAGTGAATATACACTAACACATATAACAACCAAATATATACACATAACACGTATTTTATATAAAATACTTCATAATATTGCGTTGGAATGAAAATAACTACACACTCACTTGATTAGAAGATGATCGGGCAGCACTAGGCTTGCAGAAGAGGTGTTTCTTCGTAGATTTGGAAGATATTCACAAAAACCGGCTCCTCGCGGGTAGAGCTTTGGCTCGGGAATAACGCTCTTCGGGATCCTCGGGGCTTCGGATCTTACTTCGGGGCTCGGGAATATTACCGGGGCTTCGGGGTACAAACGGCATGCAAATCGAGGAAAAAAGATTAGAGAGAATGAAGAATTTGTAAAAGAAAGGAAGCTGCCTTCGTACCCCCCCCTTTTATAGGCTGAGCCTCGGGGTTACGCTGGTTGTAACTCTAGGGTTACGCGGTGCGTACGCCTCGTTTGTCGTCAACGCTTACGTCATCGGTCTTCTATGTCATCGCATACGACTCCGAGTACTCGATTGTACGCTGGGCGTACTCCGGGCGAGTCCGGTGACTCCCGTCCGGATAATATCAAAATTTTGAATTTAAATTTAAATATTAAATATTCAATAAAATACGAAAATTCATATCTCTCTCATAAAAACTCCGTTTTCGACGTTCTTTATATCCACGCTTAGGTGAGACCACGCTCTACAACTTTCGTTTAGACTCTGTCGGTTAATTTTCACATTATTTTTAATATTTATTTTTAGGAGCTCGGGACAGAAAATTTCGTTATAAATTCATAACTTCTTCGTCCGACATCCGTTCTCGCCTAACTTTTCATCGTTTCACTACTAACAACGAGATCTTCGATTCTCGTTTAGATTGTTTCGACTAAAAACCGCTCGATCTCAAATCGAGTATTCGGGTTGCATACTGCCACGTCGAAACTTCAGA